ACGTATTATTTTCAGTGTTTTCATATTTGGAGATAAAAACAAGGGAAAACCTAACAAATTGTGGTGGATTTTTGAAAGGAATAGTTATTGGGCAGCCTGCCTCAGTTAAGACAGTTTTAGCTCTAGGCAATTTAAAATTGACTGTTTTGCAAAGAGGATATCTGGAAAAAGTGAATATGAATATACCGGTGCCAAACTTTGAACAGTTATTCAGTGTTGTAAACCAGCCTCTCCTTTGCTTGGGAGAGGCTTAACCAATGAAGACAATTGTCGAGGTTGAAGAGATTTATGAAACTTCAGCTCATTTTTATAATCCTTCCTAATTTTGTGGCACCACCTCAGCTGCATGTTAAGTATTGCTTTTGTGTTAGTAATTGGAGTTGGCTTAATAGTAACTACCAGTTTGTTCCTGATACTGATTTGCTGTGCACTGTTTCTCCTCAGTCAGTAGCGTGTTTGCTTTTTAGACTAAGAATGCTTAAAAATTAAAAAGTTATTTCCTGAACTTTTCACTGTACAGTTCTTGAGCTCAGCCCTCCTGTTGGATATGACCATGATTTAAAAAGAGTCCCCCTCCAAACAGTTTTCCTCTTGCTATTCATCCTTGGGAACTCCCCCAGGAATATTTGGTTATTAATTCAGAAATGAATATCGTTGGTTGAAATTGCTGCTTTTGGGCTTCCTTTTGTTAAATATGAGAACTGTAGAATAAAAGTAAAGTGTGCCTAACCCTGAACCAACTCTACAAAGACGCCAGAAAATGCTTGCTTCTTACTTCATTGACCTGCATTAACTCAACAGTAGGGAACTGTGGTATTTTGTATCAAGGAGCCTTATTTTTTCTTTTCCTTCTCTTTTTTTCCTTTTGTTTCTTTTGCTGTGATTCTTGTGAGTTTTGAGGTGCGAGGCACTCCCTAGACAAGGGTGATGCCTGGGCACATCTTCTGTGTCCTCCTGTTGAAACTCCAGCCCATTCAAGTGAGTCCAGCTGAGCACGAGAAGCAAATACGGCTCTACTTCCCACTCACCCAGAACCTGCGGACTGGGACAAGGCATCCTCAATCCTCGTAGCTACTTCTAGAAAGCATGAGCTTCCCTACACTCCCCTGTTACCTTAATGTTGTAGCTAAATTGGGTCTCTTGTATGTGCCTGAAGTGCCCACCCTCGGTATAACTCCTGAGAAAAACTGGCATAGCCACAAAAGCAATGGCATTCACCTGGGAGATTAGAATCTGCAGTGGTTGTTCCTTATTTCCTCGGTAAAATTTACTGGGACATCATCATTTCTTGATTTTTTTCCTTGTGTCTTCCATAGGCCAGAGGGTAAATAAGTAGGTGTTAGCTGGTGTGGCAGCTCAGATCATTTGATTGGTGGTAGCTGCCAGAATGTGGTTTTGAGACCGTTTTTTAATAGGGTAGTCTGCGGTGCATTTCTTATCCTCACTTAGATTTGCGAGGATACCTTTGCAGGGTTTGATTGTGTTTTTCTTTTTCTTTTTTTCTTTTAAAAATTTTATTTATTTGACAGAGATCACAAGTAGGCAGAGAGGCAGGTGTCAGGGGGCGGGGGTGGGGGTGGGGGAAGGGAAGCAGGCTCCCTGCTGAGCAGAGAGCCGGATGAGGGGGCTCCATGAACTGAGCCAAAGGCAGAGGCCTACCCCACTGAGCCACCCAGGTGCCCCTGGTTTTGTGTTTTTTGAAAACTTGGGTTGGAGGAGGAAGAAAGGAAACACTGTGTGGGTGAAGGGAGATAAAAGTCACACATATTTGTCACCATTAAAAGGGAAGACACAGACCGAAAAGTCTACAGAGAAAGCAATTTATTTGGTAGGCTATGAGGTTTTATTTTTCTTCCTCAGCGTATATATAATAGAAAAACATACCACTTAATTTTTGGGGTTTTTTTGTTTGTTTGTTTGTTTGGTTTTTGTTGTTGTTACTGAATTAAACTTCTCTCTTCAAACTGTGCACTTACTGGAGGCTCATGTGAATAGTCCTGGTGAGGACTGGGTCTCAGTGCACCCCAGCTTCACTCTGAAGCTCATCTTTTAACAGAGCACTTGCAGTCCTTTTATTTTTTATTTTTTAAAGATAAATTGATTTATTTTAGAGAGAGCATGAGCGGGAGGGGTAGAGGGAAAGGAAGAGAGAATCTTCAGCAGACACTGTGCTGAGTGTGGAGCCCTATATGGAACTCCCCATAGCAGCTGACGTGGGGCCTGACATGATGACATGAGCTCGATCTCAGGACCCTGAGGTCACTACCTGAAGTGAAACCAAACCATTGGATGGTCATCCGACTGCACCACCCAGGCGCCCTGTCACTTGCAGTCCTTTAAGATCCTTTCTTTCTGTGTGTGATACCTCCGAGACGACGATCTTGAAGTTGTGTTTTTTAATTTTTTAAAGTTGGGGTAATAAGTCCAAACCAAAACATCTGGACATTTCACAAAGAATAGGCCCAGACTATATTTTTTGTGTCATAGTGAAATTCCAGTGCCTTACAGATTTTTTAGAAGCAATTTATCTGCTTAGCTGTCTTGTTCCTGCCCGTTACATTTTAAATATTTATTTGCCATATTTAGGTCGTATGAAAACTCTTATAACCTTAAGAATAAATTTTTATTATAGGCTTGCAAGCTTATCTCTCTAATTCTCAGTTCTTAAGAAGTAAATACATCGGGGCAGTAGTATTTCCCATAGAGCGACAAGCTTCCTATCCCTTAGCCTCTTAGTAGCTGAGAGGAATACTTCATTTTCATTCTTATCTAAGGGGCTGTAAAGTAGATAAGGTTCTGGGTAAAGAAGGAATTTGTTTGCTACAATAATTATTTATATAATAAGTATTATATAAATTATAATTATATAACATATAATCATTAATTATAAGAAATAATTTTTGTTTGTGACAATAGATTTTATAATAGCATTTTCATAGAGTTTGTTTTACCTCTTGCATCCTGAAAATGTTATTATAAAATCTATTGTGTTCAGGCAATTTGGGGAGAGACATAGTAAGATTGCAGTCTTTTTCCCAGAGAAATGCATTTTTTTAAGTATTAATGCATGCTGGAGGCTCTACTTTAGCCTCTAGAAAAATTATTACTGATAATTAGCATATTTAATCAACACTGTGGAGTCACAGCATTTTGACTGTGATGTTCTCTCTGGTCTTTCTGGAGATGGGAAGGCTGAGCATCAGAAAAGGATCATTAACTGGACAGCAAGATTCCTCATGGGGAAAATCTTAAGTGCTAGTATGAGAACCTAGATCTCAAGATTCCAAGTCTTCTTTTTTTCTACTGTTGCAAATTGAATCTAACTTCTGCTTATATTATACCTAAATTGTACATTGGCAGATAGTTTGGAAATACTGATTTTATAAAAAAAAAATCATTCTCTAAGATCATGTTTGTACTGTCAGTTGCTTGGTAATCTCTCCCCATCTCCTTCTCCCTATTTCTTTAAAATGAATCGTACTAGCTTCTTTTTTACTTGTGATATTAGAACTTTTTGTAAGTTAAATTTGATTAAATTCCATTAGTCAAATGAGTGATTTTACTAAAAGGAAATTTTAAAGCAGAAGGAGGCCATAGCAATGGTTTTAAACTATATTTATGTGGTTGATATGTATGAATCTGTTAAGCTAGGTGGGAAGGAGGTCTGTTATGTCCTAGATAGACAAAAATTCAAGATAAAAGGTAATTGATAAAAGATTATCATATTATTTTTCTACTGCTTCTTCTTGAGGCCATCATATTGTATATAAGAAGAAAAACTAAAAAAAAAAAAAAAACCAAATTCTTGAGTATCTGAAAAGTTGGCTACCATATTTATTATGAGAAATATAACCTTCCTTGGAATAAGCAGATTTATAATATTTTCGCCTAGTAACAAATGTTTAAAAATAAGATTGTGACCATCTGAGTGAGGTTCTTTTGTACTTTATGATCCTGAATCTTGTTTGCTTTATAAAACCATAGTGCTATAACCAACCAAGGAAACGACAGGCATATAACTTTACTTTTGCTAAAACCTGATTAAGAGTTTTAAAAATGAAATGGTTAGATTCCAAGTTAAGCAAATATATTCACTCCACATAGTTGTAGATTCATTATAATAGAAATAATTTGGATATTATGTTGACTATGAATTTTCTCCTCTGTTACATATTTGCTACTCATTATTGGGCTATATTGCTTTTTAAAATCTTTTATTTATCGTAGTCTCAGTTTGCACCTATTCTAGTAATATTGCTTTAAGTTAATATACACTATAGTCATTAACTTGATGAAAGTAAAAGTCTTTGAACCTTTTCATGGTGATTAACCTATAACTCCAGTGAAAAATTAATATCTGTTACTTAACAGAAAAGAACACACAAACAAGAAAAAAGAATTCTTTTTAAAGTTTAGCATATGCAGCAGGGGGCACCAGATGAAGGCAAAAATGAATTCTTAAGTTTTAAATCAGCTACAGCTTGTATTCTGTTCATATTTAAATAATGTGGTAGTTAATTGTTTTCCTACTCATTTGCTTGGTGATTTTAACTTCTCAGTTCTAAAAACTGTGTTGACGAAGACATTGATAAGTATTCTCACTTTCTTAATTCAAATGAAATGTCTAAAAGCAACTAGTTTAGCAAGTATATAAATTTTTTCTTAAACATTTACTATTTTTAAGAGTTTAAAGAAGGGAGGGTAAACCACATTTAATAAATAATTTCTTATTTAGAACAGGGATTATTATTGTGTTTTTAGTAACTTTTCTACAGTATGTTATTTCATTAATGAATAAAGGAAAGCTTCAGTGATTTGAAATGATTTGAAAGCTTAAATTCGTTTTCAGTACATGTGAACTGAATGAATTTTAAATCTGGAAACCTCTTCCCTTTATCTAATAAATAGTTGTGTAAAAAGTTGTTTCCCAAAAGGCTCTCTTTTACTATTGTGGCATCATTAAATAGTTTTTCTTTTACCCCCTCCTCCCTATCATCTAGTTCAATATCAGATGGAAATGATGCGCAGCCTTCGCCATGTCAACATCGACCACCTCCACGTGGGCTGGTACCAGTCCACGTACTATGGCTCGTTCGTCACCCGAGCACTCCTGGATTCTCAATTCAGTTACCAGCATGCCATTGAAGAATCTGTCGTTCTCATTTACGGTTAGTAGGAGTTTCCTTTATTATTCTTTTCTCCTTTAATGTTATTACTACTATTTTTGCTTTCTGTCTTTTTGCCTCTAAGAGCGGCCTGGCAGGCCTTTTCAAGTAAATACCAACCCTGTTTCTGCAGCAGCCTCTGCAGCAGCTACGTCTAGACAGGGTTTCCTTCTTTCTGTTTATTTTTCTTGCTATCAGAGCCCTGATGTGTACATTTTGGAATGCTGGAGTAGCTGCTTCATTTTTATTCCTCCATCTCCCCTCCCTCATTTGAAGGGGCTGGTGGAACTAGACCAGATGTCTAACAAACCCCAATTGCTAGAGTGTCTGGCTCTGTACGTGACTGACCAATCATAACACAGTGTGCCAAGTTTTTTTTATACCTCTGACAGCAGCGTACAAAACCTGGACTGTTTCTTAGCACAAAGATTTTTTTCTTTTCGGCCTGTTTAATGGTGTTTCCTCAAGCTCTCCAGACCAGATGTTCTGTGCTGTATCAGAACTGTAGGCAATTTAACAGCTTTATAGCCTTCCCCCTCCCCAAACACTCACAGTTTGCCATATCTGGCAGACTTGCATATAGTTTCCAGCTGAGAAGTAAATGTAACGTCCTGAATATCTGTCAGAAAAAATACTAATGAATACGATCAATCTTACGAGCTCCCCCCAAATTGTTTCAGTATGTTAACAATTGGATTACAGTAAAGAACAAGTTGTTAAAGTGTACTTACATTGGCTGGAAACATTGCATCATCAGACCTTGATGAATTTTCCACTTGTTTCAATCTATTTTGGTTTTCATTTTATCACCTATTGCTAAAAGTTTCACTGTGTTAAGTTTCAGACAACATGAATGTTAACACAGGTTTTAGGCGGGTATTGGCATGCCAGAGCCGTTATCATGCCGCAAGTGCTGAGCTCCCTTACTCATGGAGTGTGTAAGCAGCTAGTTTAGACAAAATGAATTTCTCTGAAACAAAAAAGACACTTTTGTGATAGCACTTTTGAGTCATTTCGTTTGTAGAAGCTGTTTTAACTAAAAAAGTTTGGACAGTGATTACTAGGATGGGTAAATTTTGTTCGCAGGGCTTATTCATTAAAATTAGTCGACTGAACTACACAAATGCATGCAGTGTATTTTCACATTTAATATTCATTAGTATTTTTTTCTAATTATACAAGATGAATATAAGGTGTTTAGAACATACAAGATGTTTAATTTTCATCAAGATTTCTGGTTCAGGCTGACAAATAGATTTCAAAATAACTGCATTTTGAATCTTCTTTTTTTACGTTAGGGAGGAAGTTATTCTATCAATTTCGAGTAGGGTGATAGGGTTCCAACGTTTTCGCTTAACTATATGCTGTACTGGTTTTAATCTGCTTCAAATTGAGTTCTGATGTTTTATTTTGATCTTCATTTTGCAACGATTGTATGGTAAGTGTCAGTATGCCTAGAACCAGTGTCATTCAAGCAAAGCATGGGCAGTAACAAAATTGTTAGTAAATTCTTTCTCTTTTCTTTATTTGAGATCCCATAAAAACTGCTCAAGGGTCTCTCTCGCTGAAAGCATACAGACTGACTCCTAAACTGATGGAAGTTTGTAAAGAGAAAGATTTTTCTCCTGAAGCGTAAGTGTTTGGGGGCCTTTGAGGTGTATGGTAAAGCATTGACTGTTTTCCTTCTAAGATTTTAGTTTGCCACATTTATTGAATCCTTGGTGCTGGTGGTGTAGTAATGCTTTTGCCATGTGGACGGTAGAAGTCTTTCGCATGGCTGAGTGCCACTTGATTTCTCCCTTTCCATGTTTAAACTGTTCTTTATGGAATGTCTCATCTGTTGTTCTCACTAGGGGTGAATTCAGTTGGAGTGGGAATTAATTAGCTGTTGAATTTGAAGGAAAAAAAATGATCAAATAGGGGGAGGTGGGATGAGTGACCGGCGGCTGTCAGACTGTAAGAGCTCTGTGTCAGGATGATTGTGAGCTGTATGTCGGTCTGTCTGAGCGCCTGTTTCGTGGGGGTGGGGATGGGGAGGAGGTAAACATTTTAAGGTATCAGTAAGGAATGTGGCATTTTGGAAATTTTATGGGTGATAGGTATGCAGTTTTATGATTGGTAAAGCTGTTTTATGATCTTACATGATGGCATTGGAATATTTATATTAAATTTTTAAAAGTTCAGAATTCTTTCATTTTCTGTTAATTATGGGAATTTTGATTTCTTATTAAAGTTAGTGGCTTTGATGTCGGTAGGGCAGACCGTTTTTTGCTAGTTTCCCAATAGCTTCTAAAGAAATTAAGGTGCAAAAGATTTTAAATGCTAACTCATGAACAATTCCTGGGTATGGTAGTTACAACTAAATTAATGAGAAATTGCATTCTTGCTGTCTTCCGAACCATAGGATATCCTGTGAGTGTTCTGCTAGTTGTTAATTTCTTTCATTTGGTAGGCTTTTAAAATGAATTTAAATTTTTAAAATGAATTTTCCAAGAACCGAAGTGTATCTCTGTTCTAGCTATTTACTTTAAATGTTTTAGAAATAGATTATATAGCATAACTTCCCACGACATTTACATTTTAGTATCAGGGAAATATTGAAGATACCTGATTATAAAGGAAGAATAGTTTCTTCTGCCAAGAATCTTGTTTTCTGGGCTTTATAGCTCAAACTTGGATTGTTTTCAGTATTATTCAAGTCATTCGACTTATGCTTGACTCTGTAAAACTAGTTTCTTTCTCTTTTTAAAAGAGTCCTAATGAAACAAAGATCCTGGAGAGGGCCTGTAATTAGGGGAAAATGTATGAAATAGTCAATTTAACACTTACTTCTGACCACCAGACTAAAGTATTTTTAACATGCTTCACAGATTGAAAAAGGGAAATATCACCTTTGAGCACATGTTTGAAGAAGTGCCGATTGTAATTAAAAATTCACATCTGATCAACGTCCTAATGTGGGAGCTTGAGAAGAAGTCAGCTGTAGCAGATAAACATGAATTGCTCAGTCTTGCTAGCAGGTAAGTGGCCCTAATGTAAAGTCCTTTTTTAATCACTTTCTGCAAAAGATTCTTTCACTTAGAATTTAACCCATGGATCAAGAAAAGAATTACCCAAGTACCTTTTGAGGTTCTTTAGACATAAATAATGACATGTAGTATTTGTCCAGCCCTGCTAAGATCCCAGGAAAAAGACCAGACTGACAAAATGGAACAGTATTTGAATACTAATAATTCCTGTTATAAGAACCCTCTGATGCCTTTGCTGTATTATTTTTTGCTTTGATAGGGCAAATGTCCATGGGGGAGGGTTTTTTCGTGGGGGGCTTAGCTTTATTTATTGTATTGTATAGCTTTATAGTATCATGTCCGGATATTTAGTAATGCTCAGGAAAAATACGAAAATGCTTCTTTGTTTTACTGGTGGCACTTGCCTTGTTCAGATGCAGACTCTATTAGTAGTGAATTTCCAACATGGATTTTTAACTGAAATCAGAATTTTCTGAACCTGACACTGGCTTTTGCTGTCTTAGACAGGGCCTACATAACTTACTCCATTGTGACTGCTTTAGCTATCTCGTTGCTGGATATTATTTACTGTGTTGGTAAAGTGACTGAGGTGTTCCAAACAGATCATTTCCTTTATGGAATTAATGTTTCCTTTCCTAGCATTTATTGCTCTTAACAAAAATGTAGGCAGAATCGTCTATATAGCTCCTCTTAAGTGCCCTTTAAGCTTGATCTTAGTGATTGCTTTGTAGTGGGAGAGTGCTAGCAGCAGACCTGTAGAATGAAATAGGTAGTCAGTCTATATGTATTTTTTGGATGACTGAAAAAACAAGGTATATTTTCTTAAGCAGCCAGTTTGGAATAGAGGCTCAGTTGTTTATCAGATTTCTTTAATTGCAGATAGAAGCTTGCACAAAAGAACATATAGACTTTGTACTTCTTTGTTATAAGACAAGTAGGGTAAACCCAGGAAGACCAGAGAGCCCAGTATTGTTCTCCCTGCTCTGGGATGGGTAGAACCGTGCTTGAAGTGCCCCTTTGTATTGCTTGAATCCATCATAGGGCCACTGGAAAGTCTGTACAGAGGAAGGAGATGGAGGCTGCATGGTAAGCAGAGTGCTAAGTGCTACAGCCAGCTTGCAAGGCTAATTTGGCACTGAAGAGTGTACTCTTGACTGCAAACATATATTCATAATAGTCCTTTAATTTGTCTCTTAGAAGGTCATACTTTCCTTTATTGCTTTTACAAACACTCAGCACACCTGTATTTAAAGCATTGCACTAAGAACATTCTTTAGCACGCAAGGTTACAATTTGATATATTAAGTATATATAGTTATACAATAATTTTAAATTTACTCCCTGAAAGCATTTGCTTATATAATTTATGCCTTAGCTTTTCCCAAGCTTATTGAGCATACAAAACAAGTGTAGCCCCTTTGTGCTTTCAGTTACCAGTGAGCTGGTCTGTAGTGTCTGTTTGTCCAAAACATCATTTATAATAACCACGAAGATGTTCCCAGTTTGTGATAGCAATTAAGATGTAGACAAATATTTTATTACAGCTTTTATATTCTTCTGTATTTTCTGTGAAATAGAAAGAGGGGCCCTTTCCTTTTCATGTGAAATTTTTTTTTTTAAAGAGTTTATTTATTTATTTGACAGAGATCACAAGTAGGCAGAGAGGCAGGCAGAGAGAGAGGAAGGGAAGCAGGCTCCCCGCTGAGCAGAGAGCCCGATGCGGGACTCGATCCCAGGACTCTGGGATCATGACCTGAGCTGAAGGCAGGGGCTTAACCCACTGAGCCACCCAGGTGCCCTTCATGTGAAATTTAAAAGGTAAATTTGTGTTCTTGCTGGAAGGAAAAAAATGCAGCAGCCCTGAAGCATTACCCATACTGAAGGGCTGTTACATTCATCCAGACTGATAGTCCTCGTCTAAAAGATGGAAATATCACCTTTGTACATCTCAAATTTTAATTAATTTTTAAGATTTATTTATTTTTAGCGAGTGAGCAAGCATGCAAGTGGGGGAAGGGGCTAAGGAAGAAAGGGAGGGAGAGAACCTCAGGCAGACTCCCCACTGAGTGTGGAGCCTGATGCGGGGCTCCATCTCACTGACGGGGGAATCATGACTCAAGCCGAAGGCAGACGCTTAACCCACTGAGCCACCCAGGCGCGCTTCAGATTTTAAATTCTTAAATCAATAGCATGATGGTAGTCAGGCGTCGCCATAAAATTTTTTCTAAGCAACCACATCAGAAATCATGCCCAAGAAGCTCCTCAAGTTTTGCTTGGTCTTACTTCTCAAAACCTGTATGTGGATACCACTTTTTTGGTTTACCTGATATATTTGTTCTAGGCTGAAATACTACATTTCCATTCATCTAAAAATTTTTTTTAATTTTTAGTTTTAATTTTATGGAATGGAAGTTCTAAGCGATGGCTGTATTATAATAGCCTTTACTAATTTTTTAAAGTGTTTTATCCAAGCCTTCAGCTTTTCACACATGAAGAAACAATTCTGTTTTTATTTCCTCTTTAAACAAGTAAACTGAGGGTGGGCATTCTACATTAAGGATAAATTGATACTGTAGCCAGAGCAGACTTCTCACTGCATGTCCTGGTTCACATCTGTTTAAGTGAGCTGCTTTTCAGTTCTTTGTTTCCTTGACAATAAAAGAAAAGGCTGTGTTATTGAGACTCCTAACAGTAACTCCCTGGTTCAGTATTCTGGCTGAATTGGCACTGAAAAGATCCCCATAAAGTTGGTCCATTTATGAATCTTATCTCTGAAATAGGTATTATTTTAATTCCTTTTGCCCTTCAAGATCTGTTGTACAAATTTTTGGGTATTCCTTATTGGGTATATATATATATATATATATATATATTTTTTTTTTTTTTTTTAAAGATTTATTTATTTATTTATTTGACAGAGAAATCACAAGTAGGCAGAAGTAGGCAGAGAGAGAGGGAGCTGAGCAGAGAGCCTGGATGTGGGGCTCGATCCCAGGACACTGAGATCATGACCTGAGCTGAAGGCAGAGGCTTAACCCACTGAGCCACCCAGGTGCCCCCTTATTGGGTATATTTTTGAAGAATATTGTAGTAATAAAAACGTTACGAAATGTTTAAAGGCCACATATCTTGTGCTTGTATTCTTTCACTAATTACATATATTTAACAATATATAACGATAGTACTGTATATTAAGGACATTTTTGGTGTGGATCGACAGGGTCTGTTCTAGTAGACCTTTCTCATTGCTGTCAGTGTAGTCAGTCTCTAGGAGTTAAGGTGTGGGAGCAAATAGTAGATCGCTCTCTCTTTGTGTATGGAGTAACTAACTCTCCTTTGTGATTTTTCTCCAATGTCACTACCTTCCCCCCTCCCCCACCCAATCGGGCATTTATAGGGTTTGTGGTGATCTTTCTCTTCTCTGAATTCCTTCTGCACTTAAGCATATAAATGACTTATTTAACAAGTAATTGCATAGTAATGATATCATTTCTTGCTAGCTCTCTGGGCCTCAGTTCTTCCATTGGTAGAAATGAAAGGGTTGGTGCCCCTCCTTAAGACTGTCCCTTTCCGGGGCGCCTGGGTGGCTCAGTGGGTTAAGCCGCTGCCTTTGGCTCGGGTCATGATCTCGGGGTCCTGGGATCGAGTCCCGCATCGGGCTCTCTGCTCAGCAGGGAGCCTGCTTCCCTCTCTCTCTGCCTGCCTCTCTGTCTACTTGTGCTCTCTCTGTCCAATAAATAAATAAAATATTAAAAAAAAAAAAAAAGACTGTCCCTTTCCTGTTCATCATGCCATCTTAGGATACAGCTGGCTTCTTCTACACTCTCTTTCCTAAGATACCTTCAGTTGCTCTCCATACTGGTTCTTTTCTTTTAGGTTTTTGGACTTGTTTTTCCCATTAAAAAAAATTGAAAACATTTTCAATTTCAACTCCTCAGGAAGGTTGAAAGAGAACAGTCTGATGAACACACATAAACCTTTTGCCTAGATGTACCAGTGGTCTGTCTCGCCATGTTTGTACCTGCTCTTTATCTGTGCACATAAGTGCGTAACTTTTTTTTTTTTCTGAAGCATTTGAAAGTAAATTCCTGACATGACTTTTAACCCCTAAATATTGAATACACATCTCTCAAGAATAAGGATGTTTAAATGTAAGTCTCCCTCATCTTAAAAAACAAAGTTACCAAAAAAGGCACTTTTTGACCTCATGCCATTATTATCCATTTCCTCTCACCTTTTTCGTTCATATTCACTTTTTTTTTTTTTTTTTTTTTTTAAAGATTCATTTATTTATTTGAGAGAGAGAGTGCATGCGAGTGAGTGTGGGGTGGGGTTATGGAGCAGAGGAAGGAGGAGAGAGAGTCTTAAGCAGACTCCACTGAAGGCAGAGCGTGATGCAGGGCCCAGTCAGTCTCACAACCCCGAGATCCATGACCTGAGCAGAAATCAAGAGTTGGGTGGCTAACCGACTGAGCCATGTAGGCCCCCTGCATTCATCTGTTTTTATAGTCTGGCTTCCTAGTGTTCCATCTACTCTGTGTTGTTAGAGAGCTCTCACTGAAGTCACAAAGGATGACTTTATCACTGTGTTACTGGGTAACATTTGTTATGTTAATGACTTTTTCTGAAATACCTTGTTTTGGAGTCTGTGCAACTGCAACTCTGTTAGGTTCCTCTTTGCTCTTTGCTCATCCCTGAAGATCAGTGTTCCTCAGTGTCTGTCTTCTCATGTGTACATTTCTGGGGTGATTTCATCTTATTTCTGTGTCTTTTGGTACCTTAGGGCAAGGGCCTCCTTATTTCTATTCCTGATTACTTTCACAGTCTCCTCACTTCCTGCTTTTAACCTTTTCCTCTTTCGTTATAGTGATCTTGCTAAATGCAAATTGTATGATCATATTACTCCTTTGCTTAACTTTTTGGCTGGTTCCCCATTGGCCTTAGAATAGAATCCAAACTTCTAGTCCTGGCTTCCAGGATTCTCTGTGCTATGACTGTTGTCTGCCTCTTAGATTCACCGTTCTCTTTTTTCCCAGTCCTGCCCTTCTGTGCAGTTCTTCAAAGGCATTATGCTTTTCATGCCAAAGTGTCCAAACACGCTGCTTTCACCCAGTGTCTGGCAGTGTCCCTCCTACCTTCCTTGACTCTAGCTTCTCTTCAGAAACTCTAAATTCAGCAGTCAGATGATCTGGAAACGCTCATCTGGCTCTGCCAGATTGTATTTCATGCTTCCATTCTATTAGAGCCATGACACCATTGTGTGGTATTGATCTGTGTGCATTCCTGTCTTCTCACTAGGACGGGTGGAGTGCAGCAGTGTCTCACATAGTTTAATCCTTAGTGTCAGGCGCAGTGACTAGCACAGTACGTGTGTACTCGATCGAGTGTGTTGAAAGAGTGCATTTGGACCACAGAGTATTGTTAAATGTTAATGTAGAAGGTGTTGAGAACAGTGTCACTATATAATCAGTGGATCTGGACATTTGACTAGCGACTTGGTAGAAAGAATCATTTTATTTGCTTACCTTTACCATTGGCCCAGACACTTAATTAGAGGTGAGTTAAAATCAAGCTGTTAAGAAATTAGAAGAAAACGGAAACAATACTTAATCTTGTTTCCAAAGAAAAAGAAATATTTCAAAGTTAAAAAATGATTCACAAAATTAAAATGGAATAAGAAAAATATGAAAACTGAATTTGAAAAAAAAAATACACACTTTTTAAAAAAAGTGAAACATTTGAAGAAAGATTAAGTCATTAGGCCAAGTCACTGGGCCAAGGTTATAAAGATAGTGCCAGACCTGAGGTTAGGGGGTACATTTATTTACACACACACAGACACACAGACACACACCCCATTTCTGTATTTTTCTGCTATTTAAGAAAGAGCCAAAACTTGCTAATTTTAACCAGGTTCCAGATACTGCCCGTTTAGGATCATACTGTAACTGGATTTACTTTCATTATTCCCAACGTTCCCAGTCTGTTCCTTCCTCAGCCTGTCCCTTCTCTGTAAATGCCATAACCAACATTTGGCATGCTCAAGCCAGGAAACTGGGAGTCAGCCTTGATTTCTCTCTCCTTTCTGCCTGTTTTTCTCATGCTTTCCCATGCTTACTGCCACCATCCTCATCCAAGCCACCACTGTTCTCTCTGTAATACCACAGTAGATTCTGTGTGCTTGTGAATGTGTGTGTGTATGTAGTTTTTAAAGTAGAGCTAAAATTTACATAACATAAAGTCTACCATCTTAACCATTATTTCACATTCCCACCACAGTATCTGGGTGTTCGGTTTCTCCACATCCTTGCCAGCACTCACAATAGACTCTTAACTAATCCCTGGTTTCTATTCTCCAGTCTGTTCTGTGCGTAGCAGCCAGAGTGGTCATTTTTAAAATTTAAGACAAAATATATCACAAACACATACAACTCAAAGACACCATTTATGTTGGAGTTGAGGGATCTCATTCACACTGTTATTGGGGTGTTTTGTGGTGCAGCTAATGGCTTCCCATCTGTGTTTGTCTGACTTCTGTAACCCATCACTGTGCTCCAGCCATACCAGACGTTTTCTTTTTATCTGCCTGGTTCTTGCCCATCTCAGGCATTCAGCGCTGATGCTGTCTTCTGCCTAGAATACTTTTTTGCTTGGCTGATTCCTTCTAATTATTTGCATTCAGCCTGTCCTCTCCATAAGGGAAAGAGATAGGGCAGCCGTACTACCTAAAGTGTTTCTACCTTTTTTCTCCTCCCCACTCCCAATCATTTGTTTTTGTTTTTGTTTTTTTAAGATTTTATTTACTTATTTGACACAGAGAGAGAGATCACAAGTAGGCAGAGAGGCAGGCAGAGAGAGAGAGGGAGAAGCAGGCTCCCTGCTGAGCAGAGAGCCCGATGTGGGGCTCGATCCTAGGACCCTGAAATCATGACCTAAGCCGAAGGCAGGGACTTAATCCACTGAGCCACCCAGGCGCCCCACTCCCAATCATTTGTAAGCTCAGTGAAGATAGAGGCTATGAATGTCTCATTCATTATTGTTTCTCTGTTTGCTAATCACTAAAGTCATAACATAAGAGGTGCTTAATACTTAACTTGAAATGAATGAGTGAATACTGTTTACTAGTTTTTTTTAGAGTACATATTTGTAGTAGCAGGTTTGACCATGGTAGGAGATTGTTGCAGGCAGAAATCAATGAATATGGTGGTCATTGCACTACCTGTGAACATCCCTTTATAAAATGATTTTGGTAAATGAGTTGCAAGAGAAATTTCTGGAGAGGAAAAGAAGTGTGAATGACTATACTGTAGATTCTAGGAAGGGCAAGAGGAAAGGAGATTTTTTTCTTTTCTTTTCTTTTCTTTTTTTTTTATTTGACTTTGCAGAAAAAATGCTATTATTGTTCTTTTAGAAACTGCTGGATAGAGGAATCAGGTACCAGAAGTCTTAGTGTCTTTGCATGGTTCCTCCTTTCCATGGCTCCTGATTTAAATACTCTGGAGCACAGCTGGGGAGGGGATGGTGCTAAGGAAAAGGGTGCAGGAGTACCGAGCTTAGGTTAAACTTCGTTGTTGAGAAAATATACATTACAGAAAACCTGCTAGATATGTTTAACAGTTTCTACTCTGATACATGTGTGCTCTGATAATAAGAAGTTCAGCTATTTTGGATACTCTGGTGGCTACAGGTGTGGGTTCAGAATGAAAAGTTTGATAAAAGGCTGACTCACATTCTTTCCTGTCCCCTTGCATTCATGTGGATGTGTGCTCTCATTCTTATAGCAAATGGCAAATCAGTTTAATATCTCAGAAGTGTTTAGAGCAGTGGCAGACCTATAGCTTTAAAGTATGACATGTCAGTATATTTACTTTACATTTCAGCAACCATTTGGGGAAGAATCTACAGTTGCTGATGGACAGAGTGGATGAAATGAGCCAAGATATAGTTAAATATAACACATACATGAGGAACACGAGTAAACAGCAGCAGCAGAAACATCAGGTTGGTGTTACCAGAAAATTTGTCAGAGAATTCACTTCTAAGTATGGTGCTTCAAGAGTTTTCTTCAAAATGATCAAAGTCCTGTTTGATAAAGCATTGACTGTTAACTAGGAACTCTGTCATATTTAATTTATTACCACATATTCTTTCTAAGTTGTACTTAAAAATACCTTTTTTAAAGAGAGCCAGTATATTAAGTTCAGATTGCGATGGCAGTGTTATGCAAATAAGAGACACACTTATTGAGAAAATCAGGGGCAAAAGAGATTCTGGAGTGTCACAGCTCATTTCTTTACTAACTATAATTGGCTTGGTAGTGGCTCATTGCAGCGTAGTTAGCAATCTTCAGTTCATTTGAAAAACTGAGCAATTGTGATTAAGAGCAAGCAATTTTGATAGGAAATAATAGACCAACTGCTGTGAAATAGATAGTATAATACAGATAAAAACCCTAGAACTACCTGAATATTCTCATAGGCACATATATACGGCTGTGGCCGTTTAACCTTTTCTTTATTCATGTTTCTTGAAGGCCACATGATTTTCACAGTTCCTGGAATATTGTTTTTGGACTGTATTGCTCTAAAGTGTTCTTACAGCACTTGATTCATAGATAGGTTGATTCCAGAATGTTTATCTGTGAAAGCATTTGTCTATGACTACTGTGTGTTCATGAAAATGTACTTTAAAGTAGGTGTTGTTAACTCTACAGTTCTCAGTGTAACTACAATTTAAGCGGCTCTGAGACTATTATATCTAAAATTTGTTAAAATATCAATGTTCATCTATAGTGAAATTTAGAATACTTCGTTTTTACCATACTTAGGATTTAAAAAACACATATAGTTCTATAAAGTATATACTTTTTAACTGAAAAGAGCATGGGTGGTAAAGATGGCAATAGTGAAAAACTTATAAAGGGTGGTGGGGGAAAGGACAGAAGGACCTTGCTTGATTCCATTTTCCTGCTGGTTCTTCCCATAGGGAAAGGATGCAGCCTGGAGTAGCAAATTGAAAATCTGTCACCTGTGAGACATTTGTTTCTGGAAACTAGTGATACATGTCTTAAAATTTTGCATTTGATGTTTATGTGTACCAACACCATTTATAACCCTTTTTAGATATGTCCAGCTTCTACCCTCAAACCCTATAATGTGTATAGACATCTTTGCAAAAAGCAAGGTAATCTCCTCCTTTAGGAATCCAAGGACTTAAATTTTTTACAGCCTACTTTAGCGTCTCATTACCTGACCTTTTAAGGCTCTGTGTGTGGTATTTTCCCTCTGCCGTTGTAAGCGACCCATAAGTGTTACCTCTTGATTGTAATTTGCTCAGTAAGTTTGTAGTTGATCCGAACCTATGGATATATCTCCTGAGAATCCTAGGAAGCCACAGTTTGACAGTTTTTGAAGCATTATCTAAGCTAATATTCATTCTTAGCTATAGAGCCAATAGCACTGCTGATTAGAAGCTTTACTACTATAATAGTGATAGTGATGATGATGATGATGTTACAGTATCAACATCAGCAGCATTATTGTCGTTTTGGTCAGTAGGGGTAAAGTTGAAAAAATTAACCAGTGTGGTGGTTAATTACTTCGTTACTGCAGTTAAGGTGAGTCATACTTGTAATGTTGTCATCTACCCTGTTGTCATAAATGGTAAAATCACTCTCCTTCACTCACTAATCAGGAGCTTCTTTGCCCTTTAAGCCCTCGGTTTCCCGCATAACCAGTTTGCTTTTTCCCTATCATTATAGACTCTTAGAGCTCAGAGTGACACTGGAGTTTCCAACAAAGAAATGGTCTTTGTTGCCGTATTTATTAACTTCTCAGAAGGAGGAGTTACGTGGGTTACCATTTATAAAATTGTTGGAATTCAGGGCAGTGGGGTTTTGCTGGTTGCATAATTGACGGAGGTCTTGTTTTTTCTCCTCAGGTAGGGAAAAATAACCACATCATTTCTTCTCTGAATTTTAGTATCAGCAGCGTCGCCAGCAGGAGAACATGCAGCGCCAGAGTCGAGGGGAACCCCCGCTGCCTGAGGAGGATCTGTCCAAACTTTTCAAACCCCCTCAGCCGCCTGCCAGGATGGATTCTCTGCTCATTGCAGGTATTGTTGGCCGGTGCGAGTGCGGCTCGTTTCCTCTGTTCCTTAGGAAGCCGAAGACCAGGAGAGATTTATAAATAGAAAAATACATCAGAAAAGCTAGTGTATTTAAGATGGTTGAATGATGAATTTGAATCTAGCACCTATAATTTTGAAATTTAAGAATTTGTCAGTCTTTGTTATTTCTAAAGTCCTTTCAGTGCTTCTTCACTCTGTGTTTATCTAAACATTTTTGAGATGGCATCATAAACTTCCTAAAGTGGGAAGGTTTTATTCGAGTCGTCTTTTGGAGAAGCCCGGGAGAAATGTTTACGTGCCATACTGCAGAAGATCATTCAGCTCACACTGCTCACTTCTCATGTTCCAGCCCAGCACGGAGCCCACGTCTTCATGTGGGTGTTGGAGTTGAATTGGGTTTTCTGACTGGAGGAAAAGGATTTCCCTTACTTTGACTTATATTGTAGCAGTAGGGGTGCAGTTCTGGATATACTTTGTCTGGGAGTATCTGCCATTTAACACTGCCTTTCAGTGGTGGAGTCATGTTTCCTATGCTAGGACTTGATTTTGCTCTTATTTAGCTGTGATAACCTTATTTCTGTATAAATGTTAAATACTGTTTGATTAAATCAGCTGGTTGCCTGTGAGAGATTTTTTAGAATGAAAATCCCACTCAAACAGAAGCTAATATTCCATCATTTCTCAATTCCATTTACACATTTTCAGTGTGTGTGTGTGTGTGTGTGGGCGGGGAGGGGGGTCAGATTCCAAATTCTTAACACAAATTCTAGAACACATATCAATTACATTTGGGTAACCGAGACACATTCCTTACTTAAGGTCCAAGTCAAGCAGAATTGTATTATATATACAAAATACCTTGCATAAATGTTGCATCAGATTAGATCATTAGTTTTAAGACTTAAAAAGCAGTGATGAATGCCATTCTTCATGGGGACTCTCTGCCTTTGCTCTGTCTTGGGTCAGAAAAGGAACCTTTAATATCTCCAGAGCACAGCCTAAAAACTACTGGACTGTGCACATCAGGGTCAAGTGGGTCATTTTGTTTGCAGTTCTGTGATTTGGTATCTCCTTTGTACCTGGCTGAAGAGAGCCGGCGCTGCTTCTCACTTAGTATGGCGTGCGTCCGAACTCCACGGCCAGTACCTTTTGATTGATAGCTAATACGTAATTAACTGCTGTCGTTTTTCTTCTGTCTCCATGTACTCAAGAGCGGAAGATAGCTTATTTTCCAGAGAATTTGCATTCTTTATTATAAGGGCATGGATAACGGAATTGACTCCTATAAACTCTTGATTCAAAACAAAAGAAAATAAAATTCTGGTGAATGTGTATTATGCTGATTTTCTTGCTTGCCTAGTGTTCTAGGTCATTTTATAATTTGTGGAACATTGTGACTCTCTTTCTCACTTTCCCAAATGCACAGGCCAGATTAACACTTACTGCCAGAACATCAAGGAGTTCACTGCCCAAAACTTAGGCAAACTCTTCATGGCCCAGGCTCTTCAGGAATACAACAACTGAGAAAAGGAAGTTTCCAGAAAAGGAGTTAACATGGACTTTTGAGATCACGTTGGGGCAATTCTTGGAAGAAATTACACTGGCCAATTGGAAAGTCTTTCTAGCTAATAATGAAATAAAAATAAAACAACCTTGACTGCTTGCTCATTTGATTTTACACATATTGTGTCTAGCTTTTTATTTTTGTTTTGCTTATACTGTTTACCTACAAAAGATTAAACAGATTTGACCAGAAGCTACATCAACGTCAGACCTCCAGGCTCCATCACCTTTGCTGCTCCCTGTGAGGCGCCGCGTTTTTCAGCATACAGTCCTGCTTGTCCTAACCCCGGACCGAGTGGCCCTGGCACCTACAGGGAATTCTTCACTTCATTGCTCCCAGATTAGTGCCCGTGGAAGCCCAAGTTTCATGCGCTTGCCCAGGCAACCCTCATCCCAGACCTGGAATCGTGTAAAGTGCTCCTTGTCGGTCTGCCTTTTCGTTTCCACAGGTGATGGTCAGCCAGTCCCCAAGCTCATAGGTCATTAATCAGGCACTAGAATTTTTTTTTAAAAAAATTTCATCAAAAAAGCTGTATTTTATTTGAAAATGAAATTCTTTGTGTGTGTGTGTGTGTGTGTGTGTCTTTTAATTTAGAACTTCTAGTTTATCTTTTCCATACAGTGAAATACAGTTCTGACATCAAGTTCTGTAACTAGGGAAAGAACAGTTTAAGAACAGTACTACACTGAAGGGAGAAAAACCTTTTTTTTTTTTTTTTAAAGATTTTATTTATTTATTTGTCAGAGAGAGAGAGAGAGAGAGAGCACGAGAGTGAGCACAAGCAGATAGAGTGGCAGGCAGAGGCAGAGGGAGAAGCAGGCTCCCTGCTGAGCAAGGAGCCCGATGTGGGACTCGATCCCAGGACGCTGGGATCATGACCTGAGCCGAAGGCAGCGGCTTAACCCACTGAGCCACCCAGGCGCCCCGGGAGAAAAACCTTTTTAATTTTTCATATTTGAAAGGCAGTCAAGGGGCCCCTGGGTGGCTCAGTTGTTTAAGCATCTGCCTTTGGCTCAAGTCTTAATCCCAGGGTTCTGGGACCCAGCCCTGTGTATGTCTGCTCAGTGCAGAATCTGCTTCTTCCCCCCTTGTGTTCTCTCTCTTGGTTTCTGCCTCAAATAAATAAAATCTTTAAAAAGTTAATCAAAAATCCTGCTATTTGTGACACTAAAAGCAGTGAGATCTGTAGCTGTGGATTATGCCTGTGAGACTTTTATTTTGTGATTTTTACCTTAAAGACATGGCCCATAGGAAGATCAGAAGGAATGGATAAGGGGTGAGGGGAGTTGAGAAATTCCCCCCTCCCCCCATACACACCTTGTTTTGGAAGTAGTACAGGGGCTCCGGGATCAGGCATCTGGATTGAAACCTGACTCTTTTCCCTCTAGGGTATCCTTAAACTAGTTGCTTAACCTCCCTGTGCTTCACTTCCTTCATCCAAATGAGATGAGAAAAGGGGACAAGTGTATTATCCTGTAGGGTGGGTATGAGTGTTGCAGTTTATTGAAGATTGGGATAAAGCACTAGAACAGTGGTTGATATGTAAGAGATGCCCAGTACGTACTACAGTGAGAGCTACACTCTTGAGTTCTTATTCAGGATATTGGGTTGTTAGCAGGGTTTGCTTTTAAAAAAAGCTGTGGCCTTTGACCATTCTAGAATTCAGGTACTCGCTCACATGAATTAATTTTTCTAGTATAAATTCCTAGAAATAGACTTAGTAGTCAAAGAGTATATAAAATTCTAAGGCTTTTTACCATTATTGCTAAATTGCCTTCAAGAAGGTTACACTGATTTGCACTCCCACCCATCATGCTTCCTTATTTGAGTCAACACAAATTTGAGTGTGACTGTTACATAGATGAGATGTATTGATAAACAGAACCGGTCTTGGTCTCTGTCCTTGTGGATTGTATACTCTGTTGGTTTATTTCCTTGCATTCTAATTGCCTAGATTTGGAATTCTGTTGTGAGTTAAACAAAACACTATTGAAGTATCAAAGAGCAAAATAGAAGGGAAATCAGTTCAGACATAATTGCTATTTCCTCATGGTGTGTAAGATGAATATAACAGGATTCAATTATATTTTTTAAAGTTGTGGTTACTTATTCCATATGACTGTTGAGGTACCCGTAATTCGGAGTAAGATGCGAGTGCACACTTAATGGAAGATTTCAGGAGTTTTTGGTTAGGAATTACTGTAGTGGGAAAAACTGTTTAGGGAAACATGTCAATGGAAATTAAATGCACAGTATGTAGTGTTAGGGAATAGCTTCTGTTCGGCATTTGATTTGAGTGCTATATTCTGACATTTTTCAGGAACAAATACGTATGGTTCATCTTCTATAAATATTTGCAGTTTCTTCAAGTTGAAATGAGAAAAGCTCATAAACTGAGTACTGGGTCTAATAAATCATTCACTTATCCAAGAACAAAAACACAGAAAAAGCTAGCATGTTAATCTAATGGAAAATTAAATGTGAAAAACCAGAACAGTAAAACATACTTGAAATTGACCCCGTAATCATTGGTAATGCTTTATAAGGTTCTGGAAGACATAGCATTATTCTTAATTGAAAATACCCGAGAGAATCTATAGGCTGCTCCAGATAACCTGATTTTTAAATACTGAGGTAAACTAAAAGAACTTTTTTCTCCATTTTTAGAAGCTTGGAAATTGAGATGTGGTTGTCTAATATTAACTTACTTACTTTGAAATTTCTAATTTTAGTGTCTTCTAAAATGTTGCTACATTGTTCACACTGTATTTTTGTAACAGTCTTTGAAAAACCCAAGTGAATCCTTCACTTCGAAACCTTGTAGGCATTGATCTCTGGTGTGTTATGAAAGAATTATTTGAGTTTTAAACTCCCTTTTTACAGTAAACATTTCTCATTCATGTTAAGTATATGACATTTATTAATTTTTCCCTTAATCTTCTCATTGGCAACTTTTTCTATGATAGTCTGGTCATAGAAATGGGCCAAGGGTATTTAAAGAGGTAATACTAAACTCTAATACTAAAGTCAAAGGCCTTTGGGTTCTCTTTTAGCAAATGATTCAAGCGCCCATCTGCAGAGAGCCTGATCAAGTCCCCTGTGCCTTGGACAGTGCTTTGGTCTATCCTAACAGAGGATTCCTTCTGTTGTGACAGCAGTTAGTAGATAAATAATGAGGGGAAGGATGAAGATCCTGAGTTGCTTAAGTGTTTACAAAGATGAGAGAAAAGCAGTGGGTGGTTTCTGCATTGCATAGCCAAGACTGCAGTGGAGGACTTAGAGCTGGCTTACCTTGTGGTGACTCCCAAATTAGAGTCTGAACCTCTTTGCATGGTTTGGAACCAGGGACTGATCTGGCGCCAGGTTACTTGAGACAGGGAGGGAGGGGCTGGGGAGCCAGAGCTACTGGGAATTTATTGTTTGCTGGAGCAAACAGCTGTGGCCTAATACCCATTGCCTTGAGCTTTCTTTTTATGTAGAAAAAAGACTCTAATGTACCTTAAGCCTGGTTGGCCCTAGAGTAGAGCCCACACTGGCTATACTGAAGCCTCAATAGCGATTTTAGGGATAAAATCCATAGATGCAGAAATGGTTTTCAGGAGCCACCATCCCCAGCTTGGGGAGTTTGGGCCAATCCATAGGGCTTTGGTCTGTCCCAGACAATTCTTTGATTACCTGTATTGTTCTCAGAGGCTGCTAGGCCCTTATATCAGTCATCAGGTGATCAGTTTATTAGAGTCAGTTTGATTCCATAGGATTGATGTTGACATCAGTTGCATTTTCTTACAACTGTGAGTTAGGCAACCCATTTTCAGTTCTTTAATTGAAAAAATTGGATGTCGCCTCAGAGTCGTATTAACTCAAGTATTCCCTGGAGCCTTCATGAGGACAGGGGACAGGGGACTGACTGAATCCATGCTGTGGTAGGACTTGCTGGAAGCCTTTTTCAATAGGTTGCAGATACATCTTTAGTCTTTCTATATGTATCTTCCCTTCAGAAAAAAAAAAACAAAACTATAAAAAAAATCCTAACCCACTGTTGTTATACTTCAAAGAAAGGTAAAAATGACTTTCTCTTCTTTTAATCCCCAATTTACTGTTTTTGCATTTGTACGAAAGTGAAGGACTCTACCACTTCTTCATCAGACCTGTAACAGTACAGGGCGGCCCATTTCTCCTTATTTAAAGTTTATTTGATTGCAGTAGGAAAATACCGCTTCTGGCATTTGTGTCAACCTCAGGACATAAACTGAGGTGTCACTTCTGTTTCCTTCAGTAATATTCTTTTTCATTGACCTTTCTCCAGGGCACAGCCATTTCTGGCATCTTTCATCTTCCTTTGTGGACATGGAGGCAAAGGATTTGTTTAACTTTTCAGTAGTGTTTACCGCTTCTGACGGTAAATGGTCCTTGCCTTTTCTTCTTGGACCATAATCTCTCTTGCCAGTGTTTTACTTTGTGTGTATTGGAAACAGCTTTTATTTTGTTGGATCCCCCGAGTAATCTTTCTCCACCTTTGTTTATCTTGTCATTTGGCTTTCACTAGCTTAACTCATTCCTAGATTCAATCTGCCTGTGATTTTTTTTAGTTTTGATTGTTGCCCTTCTCCAGTTTGAGGTTTTTTAAATTGCATTTTATTTTTTTAAATAGTCACAAAGATTTGAATTTTTCCTTGATCTGATCATGCATCTCTGAATGTCATAATTCTCCAATCAGGCAGGCAAGTGTCCCAGTAACCTCATCCCCTAGATCACAATGGTGAGGGTCTATTTTTCTCTTTGATGCGTGCAGCTCCCATTATTGCTAATGAAAGGTCTTCATGTGCATTAAGGGGAAACTAGATCTCTAATGAGACACAGAGAGGAATTGCAGCTGATGATTTCCACTTCTAGCCCACTGTACTGTAACAGAAATGCACTCTGAAGAGGCAATGGGCCAAAGAAATACAAAATGCATGTGTTGACTACATAAAATATCTAGTCTGGTCTTAATGGCCGGGTGGTATTGTTTTGGCTTATAGTCTCTGGTATTCCATACCTGCTGAGGGGGACCTTTATTATGGAGGTGAAAGACCCAGATACTTGAAACAAGT